GTTGAGGGTTGAGGCTGCTCTGCTGGCTCTGTGGAAGGACAGGAGATAATCTCTGATTTTGCAAGAAAGATTTGGGAAATGGAATCATTGAAATTTGACATTTTGCAGGTTAAAATTAATCGGTGTGCCCTGGTTATTTGCCAAATCCTGGGCTCTGTTCTGATCCAGAGGAGTTCAGAGTCCACCTGAAGGGAAGAATCAACTGAAATTTCCTACAAATAAAACACAGATTTCCTCAGAAACAGAAAAGCAATAAAATCTGGAAAGACCAAGAATTGCTAACCCTGAAACAGTGGAAGGGGGAGGTCACTAAGAAGAAAATTTGCTTCAAGAATTCCAGTTTTGCCAGCACTGAGCTGATCATTTTCATACTTATTTTGTTTACAAATGGATTTTGCATCCTGAACTCTGATTTCCCTGGAATCTCCCCTGATGGGATCTGACCCTTTGGGGCTGCTTGGGAAAGCAGATATTTTATCTTTCTTCAGTAAAAGTGGCTGTTGCTATTTGAATTCCTCCTGTTCTGTGTTTGAACAAATAAAAGATTCCTCACCATACCTAACACTTGATAATTATTAGTTAGAAATGCAATTATTCATTTGTGGTTTATTTAAATCCAAAATTGCCAGGGAACCTTTAAATTTAAATGAACAATTGCCAAGTGTGTAGCTGTGCAGAGGATTGCAAATATCTTCAATAAATTCCTATTTTTAAGCACAGAATTAACTTAATTCAAGTGTTTTCCATTAGGTTTGGGGGTTTCCACAGCTTTCAGCTGTCTGTAAAATGTCATTTAATGTCTAGAGAATTTTAATGCTGCTGGATCCCATCCTGTACAGAAACCAGCACCTTGGGAAAGGCAGCTGGCCTAGACCATAAGGAGCTTAACATTCCTGCCAGTCCTTATCCCAAATAATCCCAGGCTGGAAATCCCAGGAGGAAACACTCCCAGATTTCTGCCACCTTCTGCTCAAATCTACCTGAAATTTTCTGAAAAAAACCAGCAGCAACTAAGCCAGGAGCTGATGGAAAATAGCTTGAAACCCACAAAAATATTCCCACAAATTCCCAATAAACTTGCATGGGGATCCTTCGAAGCCAAGGGAAAAGAAATGTGAATTTAATAACAAAATTAAGGGTTGTTTTTATTTATATCTTCTCAATTTCTCAGAGCCTGGCTTGTATCTTGATCCAAATCTGGGTGGGTCATTTTTTAATCTTGTCACTGCTGAGCCAGGAGTGCTGTCCCCAAAAGTGTCCCTGAGATAAGGAGGGACAGAGGGAGCAGGGCTGGGGCTGCTGGCTCTGCTGCTCTGGCCTCAGATGGCTCTGAAATTCCTTGCAGATAGTGAAATAGAGGAGGAATCTGAAGAAGATGAAGATTATATTCCCTCAGAAGACTGGAAAAAGGTAAATATCCAGCCCACATTTCATGAATAATTAATTAATCTCTTACTGGGGAACTCTGAGCTCTGTGGAGCACCTAAATCCTCTGCAGATTTTCCCCATAAATAGCAGAGTTTTGGTAATGAGAAGTCTTTAAATCCTCCCCAAGCAGTCAAAAATCCATTTCCATATAGCTGCCTTCAATTTTGAACCTGTTAATTGCATTTTTAGATTTGAAACAACAAAAGTTTCAAGAGGGGAGGAAAACAGATGTGGTCATGCTCCTGTTTGCTAACAAAAATTCTCAGGGGGGGCTTCACTTTTTCTTTTTATTCCACTCAGGAAATCATGGTGGGCTCTATGTTCCAGGCTGAAATTCCAGCTGGCACCTGCAAATACAAAGAGAATGAAAAAGGTGAGATTTGACCATTTATTGCTGCTTGGGATCCAAGTCTGATTAGGAGAAGGAAAAGACTGGATTGATGTCATGTGCCTTAATAAATGAGTGACAATTAGAGCCACCATCATCACATTAGAGCTCATCCTGTGCTCAGCAGAGCTGGAGGAAGAGGAAAAGAAGGATTTATTTATTCTTGGCCTGCTGCCTCTTGAACCCTTGGATTCTGATTTAGTGATCCACACAAGCTGCAGCCTCTTCACTTCTGGATTTCTTTTGTGTGAAATGAAAGAGCTAATGGAGAAATGGCACTGCTGGAACTGGATTGTCACAGTAAAAAGGGCAAAATGGTACCAACAGCTTTGCTTTTCACATTTTGTACCTCTTCAATCAGGAAGAAGAAATTCTGCTCTTGTGGATTTTTTTTTCCCAGCAATTTTTCCCCTCATGCCAAGCAGAGGCTTTGGCTGGATGCTGTCAGGAAAGGCAGATCCAGTTCAAACCCAGCTGGGAGCAGAAAAAGGAAATTTTCCTTCTCATTCAGCCCATTGCTAAGGGTTTGCTCACACTGCAGGTCAATGAGAATGAATTTCTTTGTAGTTTGTAGAATTTAGTTTTTAAGGAAGCAGCACAAAGCCTGGAGCCCTCCCAGAGCCCAGGTTTGTGCTCAGTTCTCCCATTGCCAGGGAGGTTTGGGTTCCCTGGGTCCCTGGGGCTGCCAGGCCAGGCTGGACAGGGCTTGGAGCACCTGGCACAGCTGAGCTCCCTCCTCCCAGGGCAATCCATGAATTGGATGCTTTTTAAGGTCCCATCCAACCCCATCCCCTCCAGGATTCCCTGAGGGGTCCTAGAACTCTTTATTTTTCTTGAGTGAGCAGCCAAACAACAGCTGAGTGGGAACCTCTGGAACAAAAACCCCAAAAACTCCTGGGAGCTGTTCCCAAAGTGTGTCCTGGGGGAAGTGAAGCTGCTTTCTTTGCAAGACATTTCATCATTTCTTTACCACTTTGGGAGGTTTATTTGTATTTATTTCCATGATAAATTACTTTTTCCAAGTAGAGATTGATCTCTGAGCTGCCCCACACCTCTCTCCCTGAGCTGGCTGTGCTTTCCCAAGCATTCCCTTTGGAATCAGTGCCCAAATTCCTTCCTTGCTGCTCTTCCTCAGGTTGTTGGAGCCCACAGCCAAGCTCTGGATATTTTCCTACTTTAATAGCCAGAATTTCACTTTATTCTGCTGCTGTCCAAAGCTTGGCTCTTCCAAAATAAAACTCTTCCAAAATAATCAGGGGATATCTCACTTGGCCCACATTTCTCCATTAAATTCAGTTTACTGTGGCTTCCCTGCTGTCAAACTCCTGTGAAAGCTCTGGAAAAGGTGGAGGTTAAAATTCTGGAGCTGCAGGATGAGTTCTATAACCCAGAACCCAGATCATGCCAGGATTTGAAGGCAAAGTCCCAACCCCAAGACCACAACTGAGGTCATTTGGATCTCAGATTAATGGTGCCCCCATGATCCCCCAAGGCGGATCAGAGACAATAAATACCTTTATAATTATTTCATTTTATTATAATGATTTCATTTTCTTGTTCTCTCCCTGGGGTCTATCCAGTGTATGAAAATGATGACCAGCTGCTCTGGAACCCTGACTTTTTACCAGAGGACAAAGTCATAGAATTCCTCAACGAGGCCTCGAGGCGCACGGGAGAGGAGAAGGGCCTGGATGCAATTCCTGAGGGCTCCCACATTAAAGACAATGAGCAGGTATAAAAAAATAAACATGCAGTTTCTTTTCTAGAATTAATCATCTTTTTATTTCACTTTACTCCCAAGAGGTAAAATTGGGTTTGAAACAGTCTTGTTGTTCCTTGTGGAAATAGAAATTTGGTGAGGATTTTACTTCTCAGAGAATATTAAACTGTTAACTTGGGCTTNATGAACGTTTTGTGGAAATAGAAATTTGGTGAGGATTTTACTTCTCAGAGAATATTAAACTGTTAACTTGGGCTTAATGTTGCTTTATGTAAAATGAATATATAATAGAAAATAAATTATATATATATATATATATATGAATCTGTATGAATTAATTCTCTCAGGTACAGAATTTTTCAATCATTAAATTCTCTATGAACATTCACTTAATTTTTTTTTTCTTCATACCCAAAAAACCCCTACACATCAATTTTACAAATGTGTGTGGTGGATGAAAAAGCTTCAAAAAAAACCCCTTTCCATCAATTTTACAAATGTGTGTAGTGGATGAAAAAGTTGCAGTGCTCTGCTTGGGCATTTTCTTGCTTCTGTCAATAGAGATTTGGAAGTGTGAGCACAGTAAATAGATCTTAGATTGCGCTGTGCTGATTCCAAGGGTTTATTTTTAATTCCAAGGGTTTATTTTCAATCTGCAGAGGTGTCAGGATGCTGTGGTGTGTTCTTAAGTTTGTTAGTTTGCTCCCCCCATTTTCTGTATTATATGGTTTCTTCCTTTCCCAGGACCCTGTCAGTTAGGTTGCTATAGAAATGAAACTGCTCCTCCCTTGGTTTCTCTTATAAAGTGAAAGT